TTCCCTACTCTTAATGGTTTTTTTAGCTCATTTAACAGCAAATTTTAAAACCTTACTGCCATGCTTGTCACTTTGTCCTCCATTTTATTGGGGCCATTCAATTTAGAGTAGATATTTGTCTTCTAAGTGCCATTTTGTTGTGTTTAAAATCATCTCCACAACCCTTTGAGCACCATCGTAAACATCTTTAATGTGCCTTTTGTCTTTCAGATCTCACTGCTGATTGGATTCATCAGTGTAAATAATTCTCCATGGACAGATTACAGTGCATACAGCTACTTTCAGATTGTCACCATGTGCGACTTGGTTATGATTTTGTTCTTCTACATTATCCACATTTTCAGATTCTATAGGAAGCTCACTTGTGTTAGCTGGCCACTTGCGGTAAGTCATACATTTTGTTGCTTTCATTATTAGCATTCAGTTCAGCAGATGCTGCAATTGTAAGTTTTTTAGCTGATTTGGATCTGGTCCTGTCCTCCTTTATACAGATAGAAACCCAGATTTACTCCAGGGAAGGCAATAGTGTTATTCTGAGACAATTCAAAAGAAGCTTCTGATTATCAAGCCTTCAGCAGATGGATCCTAGTTCAGGTCATTTATAGCAGCTAAGGGATTGCTAGAGTACCACATCATAGCATTAGAAGTCATGTACTACATCCTGTCCCAAAATAAAGCCCGTGAGTGCTATTTAAGCCACTGTGTCTCTTTTTGGTATGGTTCTGGGTAACTTAAACAATAGCAAAAAATAGGAGCCTCAGCCTGATTGCCATAGCCTGACCATTCTGTGGATATCCTGCAGGATGTTTCTGCCTCATTCCCACATTTCCCCTGCACATCCATCTCTCATGCCCTAGCAGAGAACTAACAAGCAGCACAGAAACTGTGAGACCTGAACTTCCTCAGTAGTGTTGGGTCAGGTCAGCTAGCAGAAGAATCCTGTGTCCCTGTGTGGGAAGATGATTTTAACAACCTCATAGAACATGTCTCCCTTATGCATGTTAGTTCCACAGAGGAAGGACCAAAAGGGATAGGGAAAGCCAACAGGATAAATACACAGGGATTTTAAAACCTGAGAAGTGGTTGGATGGCATTTAATGGAAGCTGTGTAAGCAGTTTACAGATATAAGTAAAGTTTGTCCATCCATCCACTTCTAACCAGAGAGAAAAATTGAATTTTCTTTTTCTTTTTAGCTTAAAAATATGGTTAGAATTGTACCTTTTTTATTTATTTTTTAATTTTTTTCATGTGTACCATCACTATCAGTCTCTAGAAAGTGCTCGGTCTAGAGATAATACAGATGCTGGGGTTGAAATAAGATAATAAATGAGAGTGTTGCAAAGCAGCATTTAGTGGGTGCATTGCTGTAGCAGGACTGTGCCATTCTGACCTTTGCATAGGCTGCTTTTGTTCTTGTTTTGTGTTTAATCATCCCTAAATGTTCCAGAGTCCTAGTGAGTTTAAGGCACTGCTGGTTGTGGTTGCTCAGCTTCAAATAGCTTTATGGGAGGTGATGCTCGACCATTGCTGCTCCTTTACAACCAACCACCTTTTCAGTCACATATTTAAGTAGTTTTAGAACAGAATAGGAAGGCCTGAAAGAGGCTGTGGAAACTACAGCTTGTGTTTGGCTGAGTTTCTTGGCATGGTCTCCATATTGCAATCAGGGTGTGATTTGCAGTCAGTAAAGTTGTAGTGGTTCAAGGGGTTGTTCAGTGCTGACACCTTTTAAAGCTGGGAAATATTTCTCCAGAAGAGCACTCTCCTGGCCCTGCCAGGGGTTTGTTGTGCACCTAATTTAGCCTTTAAGAATTCTCTTGCACTTTTGCCATCCCTTAGATTCCTCTGAAGTAGTGGCATGTGTACACTGCTTTATTTGCCTAATTTGCCTGCTGCATCATGAACTAGCCAGAGAAGCCTCCTTACAAAAATCACTATAGCAAAAACAAGGTTGAGATATTCATTTCCTGAAACAAGGTTCCGAATGAGAAAAGTAAACTGCAGTCTCAGAGCCTACTTTATGGCAAAGATCCTCCTCAGTTGATACAAACACTTGAGCAGAGGGAAACAGTGGTACAGTGTGACAGACTATTCTATCTTCTGGGATTTCCTTAAACAATTTCCTTTTGGGGCTATATTCTTTCTTCTTTGGTTTGAGATGCAATCTCTCCTCTCCCTTATACATGGCATTTGCTTGGCTTGTGCTGATGGTGCACTGCACATGAAGTAAGCAGAGGCTCACATGTCCACCACACCATGCAGAAGAAGCAACCCTTATTCAGCTTGCAAACACGCATGTTGGTTGCCATAAGCTTTGTGAGGATTCAAAATCTAAATCCACAGACAACCCCTTGCTTACAACAAGGTAAAATTGACTCCTGGACTGATACTCATCACACAAGAGAAGAGCTCAAGTGTAGTAACTCAGTGTTCTGTCAGAAAAAAACCCCATGGCTTCATGTTTTACTGCAGGATAGCTGCAGTCACCCTCACAGAATTAGGAGCCTGGATGTTGGTGATAAGTGTCTGTATAGTTGTGCTTCTTGTGGCATCCCTCCTGCTTCCAGTCTTGGCTGATGTCAGTTGTTAGTTAATCCAGGAGTAGATCCATTGCCTAACTTCTGAGCCTATCAAAAGTAGGAGGATTTGGTTTTCCACTTAGGTTATTTACTGCCATTTATTGTCATTAGATGTAGGCCAGTGAAATATGCCCTTAAGGCTTCTTCCTGACTCCAGAACTGTCTCTTTAAATTGCACACTTGATGTAATAAAGATACACATTTCACCCTCAGTAACATATGGTGTTGATTTGAAAGGATTGTGTAAGTAGATCTTCTACCCAGTAAGTAGATCTTATTCCAGTGACAGTTGTAGACTTGAAGACTGCTCCTCTCTCCCAGTTGGAAAAGAAAGCCTGGTATGGTGCAAAACCCATTCACAAAATGTTGTGGGTTTTTTTTTCTTTTTTTCTTTTATGTTTTTGGTTTACAGGTTTTTTGAGTGGTGTTTTGATCTCTGGGTTTGAGTAACCTCTGCCAACTTGTTTTCATTCTGAAGCATATTGAAATGCTTTCCTGGTATGATTCCCATCTGATGCAGGCAGTGCTTGTCTTTACAGGAGTTTCTTCATTATTTAATCGGTACGATTCTGCTTCTCATTGCATCGATTGTGGCCGCATCCAAGAGTTACAATTTGGTTGGACTTGTGGCTGGAGCGGTAAGACTGTGTTTATTCATCCTGCCACTTTTAAAATTGCAATATATATTAAGTAGGGCACTGGAAACCTGTTACTTGTAATTTTATTTTATTACAGACTTGCCTTGCTTGTGTCTTGGTTGGGTGAATTGCCTTCTAGCTCATGGCAGGAGAAGTTCTGTACCACAATGCTAAGGAAAATATTTTATTGTGAGGCTACAGACTCACCACTAAAGTGGGTGTGTGTCCTGTCAGAGACCTGAAATCAAAGGCTTCTGCTTTAACTCGCAGGAACTGATGTGTTTAGGGGAAGAAGTAAGATAATTCAGTTTTGACAAATGACTGTCACAGCAGCTAGAAGCTACCTGAAAGATTTCACCCCTGTTTTCAGCTTTTGATGCCTCTTGCTTCTGAACAGAGCCCTCTTCAAGAAAATTTCTCCTGAGGTAAAACCCACTGGGTTCCCAGGCTGACTTACTAGAAGATACTCTGCCTCTGCAGGCTGGAAGGCTTTAGAGAGAGAAACATTAATTCTGAGTGTGGGCTACAGCATTTTCACAGCAGCAGGTCCTGAAATACAACTCCTCCAGAATAAATAATTACTTTGAGAAAATTAGTCCTGATTATGCAAACAGACTAGAAGACTTACCTGACTTGTTTGTTTGGCAGATGGCAGGGAAAGACTTGCTTAAATGGAGCAGTAAAAGAGCAGTAATCAGAGGTGATGGGAAAGTCTGTTCTTTGTTGCAGAATCCTAGAAAGAAGTCTAGAAGGTGAGACTGTGCTGCTGTCCAGCTTTCTCTCTCTCCTTGTATACAACTCTCAACTGCTTTGACAAGACATAAGATGCTATTAGGCTATGGAAACTTTGTTTTTAGTATATTGGCAGAATGAAGTAAAAAAAATAACTTTTTTAGGTCTGTTAATGTCATGAAACATGTAACTGGATATACAAGAGTGTCCATATATTCATGGAATATGTGTCATCTAATGGTCTGTGAGTATCTATGGTGTGTTTGTTTTCTCATCCAGACTTTCGGGTTCCTAGCTACCACCCTTTGTGTTTTAAGCATGTGGTCATCCTACAAGGTTTCCTGCATCACGCAGTCCACAAGTAAGTATCATGCTTAGTGACTGCCAGAATGCTTCCCAAAATGAATATTTATATTTTCTGCCACAGGGCAGTGTCTGCTTGGTAGGATATATTAACCTCCTGTTCCTTGTTACTCAAAACTAATTGCAAAGCAGTAATTCCTGATTTTCTGTCAACACAACTTTTGATGACTGTTAACAACTATTAGAGCAAAATAATTTGCTTCTAGCAAGCAATGAATGTATCAGTGCTTTCTCTTCTCTCTCCCCCCCACCCTCTACCACAAGAAGGTTTCCTGTGTGTTCCTAAATCAAGTATACAAATTTGTTTGTGGCAACACAAGTGACAATTGTCTTCCTTTTCAAAGATGCATCTGTATGACTCCTTCACCTCCACAAGATGTCTGCCTCACAAAATAGGATACCAAAGAGGAGTATTCACTACTGAGGAGAGAGCATGGGTATTTTGTTACTAGCCTGGACAACCAGTAGCTTTTGAAGATCTACTTGAATGCCTATGCAAAAACATGTCGTGAACCAAAGTTTTACTCTCCCCACACCTCCCTCTCCCTTGAAGAAGTTTATAACAGAGAACCTGCTTTTTTGAGCTTTACAGAAAAAGACAACTTCTGACTCAAAGGCTGGGCTGTGGTTATTTCCAGCTATTTGCAGCAAGTGCATTTAAAACTCATTTGGAGAGTCACTTGGTTCTCCTTTCAGCGGGATGGAAAAATTGCTTCGATTTCCTCCATCTGTTTGCAGAAGGGAAATCCTGCAAATTCCTACCTGATTCTTAACTTCCAAGGATGATTTGTTTAACAGAGGAACTCTTACAAACTGATTTGTGCCTGGATAAGCTGACTCAAGTATTTGTTACCTCTTCCTATGAGAACTGTGGACTTTTTTCTAACATCAGCTCAGTCAGCATCAAAAATTATGAACTGCAGCTTGAATACATCACTGCAAACAGACTTTCCTAGTCCCAATAATACATAATAAAATGGTTTTCTCTCCATGAATTTTTACAGGTTATTAAAAACCAAAGATTATTCTTTAAAAACTTCCCTCTGCCAAATATTGGAAAATGCATACCCAAGAATATGTGATTAAAGTTTTGAGGGATCTTTTTTTCCTGCTACTCATTTGTAAATTGGGTGTTTGTGGGACCTGTTCTGTAGAAAAATTCTGTTTCTTATACATTATTCATAAACAGTGTTTATGGAAATCCCATCATGGGTGGGAGCAATGTGCTTCTTTCTCTCTCTCACGTGTGGTTTGTCCCTTCCTCTGCCTCTGCTGGGGTCCCTGCTTTCGGAGACTCTGCACAGAGTCTGGATAAGGCAGAACAGTTCAGTTTTGTCCAGCCTTGTCTTTAGCACCTGCTAAGGACTGGGGCTGGAGCCTGAGCTGGCTCTGAAGAAAAGGCTGTTTCCACTCTGTTGGAATTGAAACCCCTCTCCTGGCACTGTACTAGCATCTTTTTTTCAGCCTCCCACATCACTTGCCACCATGTGGAGAGAAAAAAAAACCCCAACACAAAACACCTTAGGGAGAATTTCACTCAGTCTGACAATCAAAGACTTTCTGAGCTGTGCTCTGTGATCATCCAAAGAACATGTTTTGATGCAAGTGCACTTGTCTATACTGGACAAAGAGAAGTAAATTACAAGTTCCTTTTTGGTTTTTTGTGCCTGTTGACAGGTCTAAGGTATGACTGCAGCTTTTGCTGTTCTGACTCTGCTGGGTGCATAGACTCACCAGATGCTCCAAGTGCAGAATCCTTTCAGGCTGGAAAACTGACATGTCTGCTGCCAAAGCTTCTTCATTTCCCCCAAATCCTCCTTGTCAAACATGTGTACCAAGAAAAGCACAGGTTTTGCTCATGTCACCAGCTCTACTGGGGCTGTTTGAATGACAGCTCTGTCTGGCAGGCACTTTGGCACCTCACCACTGTAACTCTGCCAGAAAAAGTGTTTTAACTTTCCTTCAGTGTCAACCTGGTTTTGAAAGCTCCATCTGTCTGCAACTTTGTCAAATACGGGATCCAGCTGTTTTAAAAATAAACTCTGCTCGCTATTTGAATGATGTAACGGCTTTGAGAATCAGATTGTTGTCTTGCTCATTTTTTTCCTTCCTCTATTAAAACTGTGACTTTCTCTCTGGGGAGTGTCAGAATACATCCTGTAACTGGAGGAACAAGAGGTAGGAGCCACAGAAAAAAAAAAAATGTTCCCCTTTTTGTGTGGGTGTGCTGGTTTCTGACTATCCCACCCAAAACTTGTACATCTTAAAATGTAAATGTTGGGAGAAGAAAATAGGTAGAACAACCTGTTTCATACTGCCAAAAAGACACCTCTGGTGTTTCACCTTTGGGAGTCTGAAAGAAGTTAAGAGAGTGAGTAGTGCTTTTGTTAGGTAGAAACTGGGAAGGTGAGAAAGGGAAATGAAACTTTTTTTAAAAAGAGGAAAGGTGGCTTTGAAAAGCTTGAGGACCACAGAGCTGGAGGAAGATACTGCAGGTTATGTCATGGCTTGCACACAACTGAAACGGTTGTGTTTTGCATTGTGTGAACTGTGAAGGGTTGGGTTTTTTGCTCCTAAAAAGCTTTGGGAACAAATCACCATATGGAGTATGGAGGGGATGGCAGGACACTAGGATAAGGATAACTTAGTTATCATTAATTAAGAGGAGATGGCAGAGGAGGGGTAGGGCTGGGGTGTTGAGTAATGCTGCAAGGAAGAGAAATAGGAGCTTATTAGGACACGAAGGAGCAGGGCACAAGGAAGAGCAGGTACAAATGCTAGTAGAAAGCTTATGAGGGGAGGAACTAATATGAGTACACTGTGCACTCATAGGAATGCTGGCAGATATCAACAGTTTCTGGTGGTGTCAGTACTTAATAGGCAAATGTGCCTGGAGTGATAGAAAAATCTCTCTTTTCTGCTTGGCTGCTATGTACACTTCAAACCCTGCATCTGGGATTTTCATGTTCCTATAAAGCTGCAGGAAGATGCACTAAACCTGACCCAGAGCCTGCAGAACACAGCATCAAGTTGCCACATGTTATGCCCTGTTTAACTTAAAATTGCTCGGGGCTCCACTGTTCTTAGAGACAGCATGGAGCAAAATGCTGCTGCTGAGCATGAGAGGCTGTGTGCTGGCCAGGGGCCTTGGCCATCCCTCTGGCTAGGAGCAAAAGTATAGGTCTGCATTTAGACTTGAGTGTCACCAGGAGGCCAAGGAAAGCCAGAGCTGTGTTGCTGGGCCTGACAGGTGAGCACTGGGCAGGCATCTGGGAGGTGCTGCTGGTTGTGTGAGCTGGGGAGAAGCAGGTACCAGAGAAAGGGTCTTTGAGAGGCCTGTGTCCTGTTCCTTCTGCCTGCAGGGATTTACATCCAGGTGGCAGGAGAGAGCCCTCACCACAAAGCTCTGGGGTGTTGTTAAGCACCCGGCCTGTTGAGGCCCTTTCAGCTTTCAGACTGGAACACAGGTGCAGACAGGAGCCCTTGGCTTAACTGTTGCCCCTCTGCAGATGCACAGGGCTGCACGCTTGCAAGGCCATCCCACTGGGAACAGGTAGCTCTTGGTTTCTGTCCCTGGTCCCGGGGCTTATTGAACTCTGCTACATGGAAATAAGCTGGGAAGTTGCACTGGTGCTTGTCATCTCCTGGAGAAGGATGAACTTTTTTCCAGCACAATGGCAGCTGGAAAATAGGAACAGCAGTAAGTGCTGTTGGCTGCTGGTCCCTATGCCTGTCCCTTCTAGAGGTCATGGATTACCCACAACTGGCTACTCCAGAGTCTGTTTCAGCACTGTCTGTCCCAGAGCCCAGAGTTCATCAGCCTCAGCTAGTCCCCTAGATCAGCACTCTGGTTTCACACGGCCAGTATGGTATGTACACTCTGTTGTTTATTACTAGGGACTGACTAGTATACAGTGGGTTCCCACCATCCAGGAGCTTGCATTAATGACTTACCTATTTATTAAGTATCAAACCAGGTCTCATCACCTGCCCGGACCAGCCCCTCTGCCCTGGGGCAGTTGGCAAAAAAAAATTAAAAAAATCTGTCTGCTTTTTGCCTTCTACCAAACTTCTGTCTGAGCTGCTCTGACAGTGAAATTGAAGCTTTCTGGCCATGCCCAGCAGCAGCACTTCACACAGGTAGAAAGCTTGAAGGTTAAAATAAAAATCAAAATAAAAAGAAAAAAAAAATCTGTTGCAGCACCACAGGAGTTTCCTGCTTCAAGGGTGAGGTGGCTGCCAGAACAAGCTTTCAGTTTTTCAGAGGCAGAATTTAGATACCAAAATCTTTGGTGTTGTTCTGGCTCAGTGCCATGGAAGCTTGGCTGTAAGGAGACAGTGTTGAGCAGCCAAAGGCAGGATATTGCAGCTGCTTAGTATGTGCTGGGGAGATAGCAGTATCATAGGATGGGTTCACAGCAAGGAGGCTGAGAGGTACCTTTCTTTTGGGCCAGGAAGGGCAAGAAGGAGGGCAGAGGTAGAAAATAAAGTGCAGATGAAGAAGCTAAAGCCAAGGGGCCTCTGCAGAGGGGGAGCACTAGGTGACATTTCCTGAGCCAGCAGCTCAGAACGGTGCTGTTGCTCAGGTTTGTGATTTTGTTTCGCTTCCTGAACACAATACGGCCTCCAGCATCACCTGTTTTTGCATATTGCTGGATTACAGCTTTACAGAAAGGCACACCAAATAAATATTTTCAAAAGCAGTTTTGTCACTGGGTAAGTGCTAACTGGCTCTCAGGTGAGACGTGTCTGAGCTGAGTATGTCCTTCAGAGCACCAGCCAGCCATGAAGGCCAGAGCTTTTGAAGCAGAGGATAGGATTAGGAGGTAGATAAAATTACTTCAATTAAAAATGCATTTGTGTGGATCCTGGGTTGAACCAAGTTAAATTCAAAATGTCCAGCGTGGTGTAGATTTCATGTATTGCTCTTCAGATGCTTACAGACCCAGAATAACAACAGTGCACAAAGCAACCATTTGAAAGCAATAAACTGCAACCTCTAAAGCAGAAGAGCA